CTCATCAAGGCTTATCCTTGGCAAGATCATGGGAGAGGGAGGAGTATTTGGACTCTGTTAAAGTTTACTTTTCCCAATTCAGGAGGCAGAGGCCAGAAGTGGGGAAATAACATTCCAGATCTGAGTAAAGACCAGAGACTAGAGATGCCAAACGTAGGATTCTGGATTGTCTGCAAAACATCACCTTTTTTCCTAAGTGGTGTTAATCTTGATCTATGTTTTTTTTCTTCCTTAACAACAAAAACTCTTCATTCAGAAAACAAAGTGGACACCAATGTGAAATAATATATTAGACTGATGCTATAGTAAAAATGTTTGATACAGTGTGTAGTGGAAGGTATATCTACACTACATTATTTCGAAATATCTAATTTTGAAATACACACAAAATGCATTTTGAAATAGCACAGCCACACTGATTGGATGCTGAATCACATTTAAGGTCAGCCGGAACTGGTTCTGGCAGGGCATCAGGTCAGAAGTTACCTTGTGGCCAGGGCAGCCAGCAGGGCACCCTGGGAAGGGCTGGAGGCCCCTTATTTCAGAATAAGCATCTACACAGCACTTATTTCAAAATAGTAATTTCAAAATTGGCGCTAATCCTCGTGGAATGAGGTTTACCAATTTTGAAATAAGGCCTCCGCTATTTCAAATTAATTTCCAAATAGCAGCTGGCTTGTGTAGATGCTAGGAAAGTTATTTCAAAATAATGGCTTTTATTTTGAAATAACTTTGCTGTGTAGACATACCCAAAATGTTTAATTGAACAGTACATTTGCAGATGATTTGTTTTACTGTACTGCAAAGGTAGATACAGTCACTTTTCTATCTGAATGAGTGGATAAACAAAATAAGATAATTAAGGAAAGCATGGCTAGAAACTAGCTCTCGGTGGAAGGATGGCTGTGTCTCTATAGTGGGGGGGGGGGGGGAAGAGGGGGAAATAGAACAAAACTTTTTTTTAATGTGCAACATTTTTGGGTAAAAGCAAACACCACACTGAATCTGAGCTTGTTTTCTGGCCAATGGGATCTGTGAGGATTGTACTGGAGCAGGAACTGTGTATGGAGACCCCCTCCCAGGGGGCACACAGTAGAGGCATACACACTGACCCTAGCAGCTGACAGCTTTGAGTGGCATGCATGGGCATGACAGGCAGGAAGCCTGCCTGAGGATCCCGTAGACTACAGGACATTGGCAGCCCAGAGTATCATGGTGAGCTGGCTCTGGCTGGTGAGCTGTATTTTGCCCAGCTCTGCTACATTTTTGTAAGTGTCCAACGGAGAAGAAATGTTAGTTTAAAAATATAGAATGAGGATTGTTAGTTTGCTTAGAGATTGCATCTTAGATATGCATAATCATTTTTCTTAGTGTTCTACCATTGTCCTCATAACATTCTTCTCTTACTTACAATTCACAATGGCAATGTTTATACCTCGTCCAACATTACCCTTCTGTTCACTTATGAGCCTGAAATTGAGATAAATATGCTGTCAGTCAGGAATTGTACTTCCAGAAGAGCAATGGCATTTACCTGTGCAAAGTCCTTCCTTTAGATTTTTGTTTTTAGGTTAATCATTTAACTGAGGAATCTGCTGAAAGCAATGGAGCCCCCATGTCTTAAAAGTCTATGAAGGGTGGGTCAGTTTCTTCCAGAGAACCCATAATAAGCCTACTTCAAAACCGTAAATAAGTGCAGCATAAGAGTAAAAACAATGCTGAAGAGAGAAAAAAAAAAGTTTTATGGCACCATTCCATGTAGATTCATAGAATAGGCCAGTGTATCTTCTCAACAGTGGCACACCAACATTTTTACAAGTCACTAGTGATTGCAAGTGTCTCAGTTTTAGAGGGCCTAACTTGAAATACTATAAAGAGGCCCTATTTTGAGAACGTGCTGGAAATCCAACCTCTGAAAATTAGGCCCTTTTTACAGTGTTTCAAGTTGTGCAGTGGAAACTTGATGCACCAACATTAATTAGCCCTGCATTTCTCAAACTGTGGGTCCCAACCCCCCGGGGGGTCGCGAGCAGCTAAGAGGGGGGTCATGGTATCACAAAGTTTGAGAACCCCTGCATTAGCCACTTTTGAAAATCTTGGCCCAAAGCATACAAACTAAGGTACAATCCTAGGTGCAAGGTTAAACAATGTTACCAAGAATGACTATTTTAGACACAAGCGCAGAGAAAACAAAAAGAACAAAGGAGACTAAAAGGAAAAAAAATCTAAAGTGTCAAAGAAAAATAAGTATACTTTCAGATTACATAGAGCGAGGAAGACTGGAAAGATGCAATAAAACAGAGAAAATTAGACAAGGTTTAGTGTTGGTAATGGACTTAAAAAAAAAGAATGTTCTCCACACAAATGGAACAGAATTATTCAGGGTTTAAAGTTAAGGTATCCAACAGCTGACACAATGAAGCAATACATGTAGCCAGAAAAGGGGGAAATAAAAATGTCAGGGAGATAGCAGCTTCACAGAAATAAGGACACAGAGTCAAGCTTTAGTTTCAGTAAAGTCAGTGAAAATATTGGCAAAGATTTCAATAAAACCAGCATGTGACCCCAAAGATGAAAAAACCAGTGAGCTATCCCAAAGGGAGAAAACGTATGGAGCAGAGTTGACAGCACTGAAGAAGATTTTTAAAATATTTATAATCATTAAATTAAAACCCGCAACCTCTAAATCAGAAATATAGCCAAGGTTGGGCGGTGGCCCATTCACATAGGATCCAGGTCTACCTCCACTAACTCTATCTCTCCTCTGGCCCCATTGCTTTCCCTGCCCACCCCACACTCCAGCAGTGGAGTGGAGCTGAAGGCTTGCCCTGCTCTGTCTGCCCAGCACTCCAACCGGGAACAGGGCTGGGGTGCAGTGGCCTACACTGCTCACCCAGTATGCTGGCTGTAGAGTGGGGTTGAGGCCTTGCCTCCCTCTATCTGTCTGGTGCTCTAGCTAGGGAGTGGACTTGGAGTGTCAAGGCAGGCCCCCATGCTCTGATGCACTGCCCTGATGGAATGCCAGGCAGGTGGAACAGGAAAAGTTCTCACGCTTCAACCCTGCCCCTGCACTTTGACCCCACTCCCAGGCTGGAGTACCAGGCAGATGGGAGGATCCGGGCAAGCTCTTGTGTCCTGACCCTGCTCCCTGGGTGTGCACTTAGAGTCTAGGGGGACTCCTCGCCAGAACGTCCATTGCCCCCTGCAAGGCTGACAGGAGAGATTAGGCAAGGCAGTCCTGACCTCTCCTGTCCCCTCTCATTGCCCACCCACTCTCCCACCAAAAGTCGAGGCCCACCCAAGTGTCTGGCCCTGGCTACACCACTGCTCTAAGTGATTCCCACCTTTGGATTTCCAACTGTGCCTCATTTGCAACATATCTGTCCTAGAATCACACCTGTACTTTAAACTGAAATCTCTTTGCAGATGGACTTTGTGTGTGTGTGTTTTACCATCTCACACGCTATCAGAACCGAACAAACTGGGAAGAGCCAAGGATAGACCACTGACATATGCAGATGTAAAGTAGAGGAGAGCTGAGATGCTGGTTTCTTGCTTGAGGTGCTTAAAGAGTGTAGCACGGCAAATAATATTGAAAGTGAAAAATCCCAAGATCACTGTTCTTGTGTTATGTAGTCTGCGTTAATCCAATAAATGTCTTTTATAGTAAGAATTTGGTTTGTCATTAAACCAAAAGCAAATGCCCTTGGTTGGATTGAAAGTAGAGTAGGACTTACATCTCATCTTCAAAACAAATCTTGGCCATTTTTTCCTTGCCACCACCACTAAGTAATCGATAAGCATAGCTCCCAGGTGAACATGGAGACCAATGGTCACATTTCTGTCGTTTAGGAGGTGGGGCTGTAGTGAATAAGAAAACAGAACATGTTTTGTTTGAGCACCGTGTAAACATCATGGTTATCAAAGTGACCAAATAATTTCAGACTATTAGAGCAAGGTCAAACAAGTACTTACAAAGGCAAGCGATCATATCAAAAGTACCCCAGATTTACACATGCTTGAAATTAGCACCTACTTGCCAAATGAGGGTAAATTGGTGTTTAAAAATATTACAACTTAGACAATCACTCAGACAAACAAATTTGGTTACAATTTGCAGGAGATAATGCTACTAACTTCTTCACAACGTCATCTGAAAGCGAAGTCAGTCAGGGTGCATCTAGACAGCAGCTCTATTTCAGGATACTTCTGGTGTCCCAAAATAACATTCCCGCATCTTAACACAGTACCTGTTATTTCAAAATAGCTTTAGAAATAATGGGAATGCTATTCTGACATCCCTGTAAACCTAGTTCCATGAGGATGAAGGGATGTTTCGGAATAGTGCTCTATTTCAAAATTTGGCGCTGTGTAGTCAATGCAAAATTTCAAAATAAGCCATTTTGAAATACACTCAATGTAAGGTATGCAATTTACATAGCTCAAATTGCGTAGCTTATACCGAGCTAAAAGTGCAGTGTAGATGCATCCTCATTCGCATGGCTCTGTTGTAACTAGCATCACAAAATATTTACATACCAGATGCACTAAAGATTGAAATGTACATTCATGTATCAGCCACCAATTCCAGAAGACACGTGTCCATGCCAACGATTGGTTTTGCTCAATAATCCAAAGCTGTACTGATCAGCACAGGCTCATTTTCATCATCTGAATCAGATGTCACCAGCAGAAGGTTGATTTTTTTGGGTGTCTTGGTTTCTATTATTTTTGCACCAGAGTGTTGTTCTTTTTAAGACTTCTGAAAGTATGCTCCACACCTTCATCCTCTCAGATTTTTGAAGGCACTTTAGACTCTTAAACTTGAGTACAGTGCTGTTGTCATCTTTAGAAATCTCACATTGGTACCTTGTGTGTTTTGTCAAATCCGCAGTTGAAAGTGGTAAAGCAGGAGAGGAGACACACAATTCTCTCTTAAGGAATTCAGTCACTAATTTAATTAACATATTTTAATGAGTATGATCAGCATGAAAGCTTCTTCTCTGGAATGGTAGCCAAAGCATAAAGGGCCTAGGGATGTGAAAGGTTGACGAGTAAGCATCACCTTTAATGAGTGACGCTTACCTGTTCCCATTAACCAGTGGAGGCTAGAGCTTTGCCATCCTGCCCACCTCCCCTTTAATCAGTTAACTGGTTAAACATGATGTTTAACCAGACAATCAATTAAATGGGATTTTACAGCTATAGAAGGGATTTACGAATATTCAGCATATCTGATCGTAAATACCTTGCAATGCTGGCTACAAAATTGCCATATGAATGCTTGTTCTCTCTTTCAAGTGACACTGTAAATGAGACATGGGCAGTATTACCTCCTATAAATGTAAACAAACGTGCTTGTCTTAGTGATTGGCTGAACAAAATGTAGGACTCAGTGGACTTGTAGGTCTATAGTTTAACGTAATTTTGTTTTTGAGTGAATTGAAAAATATTTCTTTTAGCATTTTTTCAGCGCAAATATTTGTAATAAAAATAACAATATAAAATGAACATTGTATACTTTGTATTGTGCTGTAATTGAAATCAACATATTTCAAAATTTAAACGTCCAAAATATTTAATAAATTTCAATTGATATTTTATTTGTTTAACAGTGTAATTAATCACAATTTTTTACCACAATTCTTTTGAGTTGACCACGAGTTAACTGCTATTAAAATGACAGCTTTAATTATAATAATAGCTGCTCATTCATTCTTAAAATAGTACACAAGTAATCATTCATTAACTAACAAGCCATTTGCAGATTAAATTACAAACACTATGTTTCCCTTATAATATGCTGCATGTTAGTGGAAAAATATCAAGTGACCACATACGCTTAATTACTGGTTTCTCTCCAATGTTCTGAAGATTTTCAATAGCTGATGATAGCGAATCTTCAGGAACGATATCTGCAAATAGGTATCCCAAATACCAAGCACATACAGATGCGAATGCTAGTCCTGATAACTTTGCCACGTCTGAAAAGAAACAACAAATCCATTACTTAATGTGAAATAAGTCTACAAAAGGATATTAAAAATATAGCATTTTCTATGGCAATGCTACACAAATAAACCAATTTAATACAGTGAAATTCAGTCCTGATGCACAGGCACTCCACACCATTTGAGATTTTCAGTTGGGCTGTGGACAGAGTGAGCATGGCACTCTACAATGACCACCTTTTCTACCCCTACAGGAAAAATGTCTTAAAAACAAAAACAAACATCAGTCTATCTATTTGACCCTGGAAAAGGAGACATGCCAGAGAGTCCATGAAATCCACAATAGACCTTCCTATTGCTATCCATTTTAGATTGGTGGCACCCAGTTTCTATGATGATAGGTAGCAGTTTAAAACCCTACCCTACAGTAAGCTTACAGGGGGCTTTCTGTATCTTCTTAAAAATACAGGAGGAAACTAAGCTAGGCCTGACTAGGCAGATATGTAAATGAGGGTTGGAGATCTGGTTGAGGGTGGACTTCTAAACACCAGATTTGTGCACATCCGGAAACTTGGAAGCCTGCAGAGAAAACTGGAGTGACCATAGCCATTAGTCCAGTCTCTCTCATTTCTGCAATTGTGCTACTAATTCTAGTATAAACTATAATAGTGTCTATAATGGACACGAAGACTGGTGTGTATTTGCCATGTTTTTGATATTGAAGCAGATAAATACAGAGTCATGTTGTACCAGAAACTTGGCTACCTCTTCTTGAGAAATAACAATTTATTCCTGGGCCTGGAAGTAAGTGTAATTCATGCTACTCAAAAGTTAATAAAATACCACATTTGTATATTTTTCACCCCAAAATGACCCAAGTGCTTCAGACGGTGAGTATATACATTGTGTTCATTAAGAACTAGTTTGACTGCTGCTGAAATACAGAGTTTTCGTGGGGTTGCAAGATGTGGAAGGGACAGAGAAAACAAGGCAGGTTTTTCAACAGCACATAGCAGGCAGTTCAGACAAGGAAATGAGGACTAAACATCAAATTTGGAGATTCTTTTGTTTATTTTTAAGTTTCCTTTCCTAATAGTAAATACGGGATCTATAGATGGTTCCTAAATCAAATTCCTGAGCAAGAAGTTAATGAATTCCTTGTGCTTTAGCACAATCCCAGCACTCTAGGCCCCCCATCTATCATGGAGGAGTGCGTGGGTTGAGTTTAAAAAGATAAATAAATCATGTTTAACTTATAAGTGCTGTTTAAAAACATTAACACCGGGGCTATTCAGAAACAAACATTTTTTTTTTTTACATCAAATTCTGAAACTAAATTTCCCATTCTCTTTTACTATGTGGAAATTTCTAAATTTCCTGCAAAATGGAATTTGAAAAAACAAAACCCACATCAATTTCTGGTCAGGTGAAACATTACAATTCAATACAATCAAAATATTTTGAATCAATTTTGACATTTTATATTATAATTTAGAATATAAAATAAAATATTAGAGAAAAAAATAATTTCAAAATGAAAAACTGAAATGTCCTAGTCCATGGAAGTCAAAACAGAACATTTTGACCATATCAGAATGCTTCATTTTGATTTTTTTAAAATGAAATCTCATCAAAATTGATACCTGCTGGGGAAAGTTTAGATTGCAACAAAATAGCTTTTTCTAACAGGAAAAACATTTTGTTGGAAAAATTTTGACCCGTTCTAATTAGCATCCAATTGATACAGATTTTTAACAATTGAGTTAAGTGACTCTCAGTCTATGCTGGAGCTGGAGGTGATTAGATATTGACAACAAGTATTATATTTTAAAGTGAATTAAAACAGGATGCAATATATGTCCAAAATATATTCTGGGGTGAAAATCTGATATTTCAAAATACAAAATTATATTGAAAAATTGGCCCAATTTAACACATTTTGGCCAGCTCTATTTAGCATTCACTGATTGCTAAACTCTATTTAATGATTTATCTGATTCAGAATGCTTGAAGTTGAAGGGAGTGGTAGAAAAACAAAGAACTGAATGGATATAAGTAATTAAAACAAAGGATTCGTCTCAGGTAAAATATGAACACTGTAAGGAGTTGCTCAGCAGCTAGTTAAACAGGATTTGTAGTCACCTCACACAAATGCACAAGCTCAATTTATTTTGCCTTTTGCAGATCAAATGTGATACCGAATGTTGTCAATGAGAAACAGCAGAACTTTGATATGTTGAGTGATCATGTGACAGATTTTCATGTTTATAAAAAATATCCACGCTGTTTTGTTAAGACCCTTGTTTCCAGCTTATCAAGCTTTTTAATATTAGTTTAATTCAAGAGAAATCTTGTTCATTTTCAGCATCCCCTGTGCCAGGAAAAATAAGGCCCACAGGCTGGATACTGCCCACCAAGTTGCTAGATATGGCTCACGTGAGCAGTGGGAGCCTGACAGCCTGCTCCCTCCCCCTGCTGAGACTCCGTTTGCTGACCCCACCTCCAGCACAATCTTTCAGCTCCCATTGTTCAGTTTCTGGCCAATGGGAGCTGTCTATTTGAAGAACAGGCAGCACACAAAGTAACCTTTCCCTCCCCACAGGCTCACAGCTGTTCACAAACAGGATCCCATGGCTGGCTGCTCTCAGTGGCCTTCTGGGACATGGAAGGCAGGGAACATGCTGGGCTGCTGGCCAGAAGTCATCCAGGTAAACATCTCCCAGCCAGAGCCTGCCTCTGGCACCCCAGTCTCTTCATTCCTCCTAGATCCTCTACTCCCACACCATATATAACTCCAAACCCTCTTCTTCCCTACCTGCATTCATACCTTCCTCCCAGACCTTACACTCCAGTTCCTTGACCCAGGTCATAACTCCTTTCCAGATTCCACACCCTCTTCTGCACCCCAATCCCTTACCTCAATCTCCCTTCTGTATCCAACCTCCATCCCAGATGCTGCAACTTTTCCATTAATATAATGGAAGAGCATGGCCCTTACCCACTTACCAAATGCCTGGAGTGACCCACCCATCAAAAATTATTGCCCACTCCTGATCCAGAGTAAGAAAAAGGTCACTATGAATCTGATCATCAACGTTTTCCACTTGATTAAAAAAAAAAACTTGCAACGGTCCTTTACTCATTAGCTTTAATGAAGTATAAAACATTTTAAAGAAACAATTGATGTTGGGTATCCTCCTTGAGACAAATTTCAACTGCCAGACTCACTTTTAGTGACTGAAAAATTAATTCAAGTTTTCTGTGCTTGAGTGTTCTGTGCTAGAGCTAGCCTACCTCTAGTGAAAATAGCAACACTACAAAGTAACACTTGAGCTAATTTGTTCATACTGGCCTTGCACTCGTGTGTGGCACTACATTCTTGTCTTCACTTACAGAAAGATGTGTGTGACAGTGGGTTTTTTGTTTATAGCAAGATAACAGACAAACATCCAACTCTAAAATCCCAAGAACAGACAACACATTTATACAGATCATCATGAGCTATGTGGGGGTATGTCTACACTGCATTCCTCTTTCAAGAGTGGAATTAAAATGAAGCCAAGCGAAATTGCAAATGAAGCACGGATTTGAATTTCCCACACTTCATTTGCTTAATCGCGTCCAGGTGCTATTTCGAAACACCCTATTTCGAGATAAAAAAACATGGTGTAGACACGGTTATTTCGAAAGAAACCCCTTCTTTTGAAATAACCCTTACTCCTTAAAAAATGAGGTTTAACCGTTATTAACGGATGGTGTGGGGAAGGGTTCTCATGTTGGCTGCCGGAGCTGCAGCTGATGGTGGTGGCTGAAGCTGGGCCCCAGAACCATGTGGTGGCAGGGGCCAGAGCTGGGACCAGAGCCGGTGGCCACATGGACATGCATGGCCCAATGGAAGAGTGGGAATAGTACCCATAGGAGTATGCTTGTGGGGGGAAAAAGTGGCTGATTAATTTCTTGGTGGTGGACAGTGCTTGTACGAGGTATGGGCTTGACTGTCATGCAGTAAAATTCAGACTGACATGATGAATAAGGAATTTGATTGTGTGGGACAGGGGTAAAATGGATGTACAGATGGAATGTACTGAAATGTAGTTCTAGCTAAATAGAGGAATGCTGTTTTCTTCCTAGTGCTTAATTGCTCCTAAACAGGTTTTTAGTTTTATCGTCCCTAACCATGATGGTATAATATAATGCAGAGATAGCTTGAAAACATTGCATCCTTTATTTGTAAACATGTCGTAAAATAGTAAAACATGCACAGCATTCAGCAGGCCCACTGCCATTAAAAACCAGACCCTCTCAAAAAAGAGCAGAAAATAGTTGATACACAATATAAACTCTCTATTGCTACATGACTGGTGACCACACCTTCTGTTTTTCCTTCTTTACACATTTCTCTCTCACACACACACACGGGACAGCCTAAGAGGGGAGGGGAATTTTTCACTTGAGAGACTTTGAAGGAGGAAGGCTGCAGAGGATTTAATTGCCCTGTTCAGCCGCTCATGAGTTCTGAATGTACACTTACTGCCTGAATGCACACTTACTGCCAGTTACTACTGGACTGCCTGTGCACTGTGTTATAAAGCAAATAATATTATTTGTCACCTTTCTTATACATTATTTGTGTTAATAGACATTTAAGCTTTGAAGAATGCTTCTGAGTTGATCAAATCAGACAAGGGAAATCTGCACTTGATTCATCAGAGAGCTTTAGCTCTGATTTATGTCTTGTGTGCAGAACAAGCATTCTAGGTAACTACATTTTCTAAGTTGCTATTTACCTGTAGTAAATCAAATAGAAAGAACTGAGGGCAGTGGTGGGGAGATACTGGATTGACTTCACCTCTGATCCAAAATAAAAGATAGCCCTGAGACACAAGGTGAATGGTGAGAAATATTCAATAAGCTGTTGTCTAGGTGTGCAATGGACAGTGTATTCTACACAAGCTGAGAAATGTTAGTCTGAAAGGCCAATTAACAATTTTCTGAAAGGACAGCCAGATTTAACTGAGCAGAAAGCCCAACTGCAGGAGGGTCTAGTAAAGGGATATAAACAGAGGAATTTGGCTACTTAAAATTTTGCAATATTACATTTTTAATTTGACTTCATATTAAATAAACAAACATTTAAAGTCATGAACCTTGTTAATTATCCCTTGTTTTAGTATTGTTTCTTCCATAGCATTATTAAAAATATATAAAAGTTATTTGTTAATAACTTGGGTGACATGATGGCAAACATCCAAACAAGCGCACATGACCTCAATATTGGTGCATGTGACAGGGTATACCAACTGTGCACTGGGTCGGCAAGAGTTAACCAGGCCTATATGGCTGAGAGAGCTCCACCCCACAACCCTGCTGGGCATGCTCCAACTGGAGGACCAGTATAAAAGCCAAGGGAGCAGCTCAGTCAAGGCTGACCACAGCAGAGGAAGGAGTTGCTGCCAGAGCTTGAAGCAGAAGCCAGCCAGCCAGCCAGCCAGCCAGCCAGCAGAGACTGGCCAGGTAAGGGTCCAGCTTGGAGGACACAGGTGTGGAAGAAGCTGAGAATCCTGGACAGGGTAGGAAGTAGCCCAGGGTGGGGAATTGGAATCTCTGAGAGCTTGGTGTGTTTTGGGTGACAGCCAGCCAGCCAGCCAGCCAGCCAGCAGAGACTGGCCAGGTAAGGGTCCAGCTTGGAGGACACAGGTGTGGAAGAAGCTGAGAATCCTGGACAGGGTAGGAAGTAGCCCAGGGTGGGGAATTGGAATCTCTGAGAGCTTGGTGTGTTTTGGGTGAACTCCCCACTGAGCTAGTGGTGGGACATGCCCACCAGTGACAGTGCCCTGGACTGGGACCCAATGCAGAGGGAGGTCCCCTTACCCCACCCCATTAGCCTCAATGGGGGACACTACATCTGAACAACTGACTTGGCTACTGGGCTGCATTGCCCTGCTGATGGAGGCTGCTACTGGCCTGGGGATGATAACAATTTAAAAGGTAGATCAACCCAGATGGGGCCTCAAAGGCTCCATGCTCTTCCTCCTGAGGGGGTGGGGAGGAGCTGGGCTTGCCACCCTGTCACAGTGCATAAGGCAAAACTCATTTTGCTCATGGATGGAAAGTCTTAGAGGGAACACTGGTAAATACCTATCTTTGCACCTCATTTCACATCAACACAAGTGAGGGGTTAGGAGGCAGAAGCCCACCTTGAAAGTTTGAACCCCCTGGGTTTCATACTTGAGGTCTGTTTAAAGCTGTATACCCTGGCTCCAAAGGCAGCTCTTAACTGCAACAGAGTTTGAGCTGCTTGCTGCTTTGCCTTTGGGACAGGGAGTTTGTTATAAAAGGAGGGAGGCAGGTGATTAAGAATAACAAAAGACTGATATTCAAGTCATTAAATGATCATAGATCATCATGAAAACATTGCCAAGTACTTGATAGGGAGGGCAAAAGAGAGTAGCAATGAGTGTTGTGTTGCTGTGATTTGAATTTGTATCAGTACTGTTAAACTTATATGGCTATGTCTAGACTGGCATGATTTTCCGCAAATGCTTTTAACGGAAAAACTTTTCCGTTAAAAGCATTTGCGGAAAAGAGCATCTAGACTGGCACAGATGCTTTTGGGTAAGAACTTTTTGAGAAAAGCGTCCGTGCCAATCTAGATGCGGTTTTGCGCAAGAAAGCCCCGATAGCCCCAGTAGCGAAAATGGCGTTTTTGCGCAAAACACATTTTAGCTGTCTACACTGGCCCTCTTGCGCAAATACATTTGCACAAGAGGGCTTTTTCCTGAACGGGAGCAGCAAAGTATTTGCGCAAGGACACTGACAATCTTACATTAGATCGTCAGTGTTCTTGCACAAATTCAAGCGGACAGTGTAGACATCTGGCAAGTTTTTTCGCAAAAACACCCGCTTTTGTGGAAAAGCTTGCCAGTCTAGACGCAGCCATACATGTTCTTGAAAATAAGGATAAATAGTGAGGTGGCAAAATTTGCAAATACCACAAAATTACTCAAAATAGCTAAGTCCAGAGCTAACTGCAAAGGGGGTTACAAAGGGATCTCACCATTGGGCAACACAATGGCAGACGGAATTCAGTGCTGAGAAATGCAAAGTAATGCACATGGAAATAAATAATCCCAACTATGCATACAAAAAATGATGGGGTCTAAAATACCTGTTACCACTCAAGAAGATGATCTTGGAATCATTGTGGACAGTTCCCTGAAAACTTGCTTAATATGTAGTGGCAGTCTAAAAACTGACTATTGGGAATCAACATGAAACGAACATGTAAGACAAAATATTGTCTCTATATAAAGTAATGGTATGCCCACATCTTGAATACTGTATGAAGATTTGGTTATCACATCTTAAAAAAAAATTGATTTGGAAAAGGTACAGAAAGGGCAACAGAAAAGGTTGGGGGTAAGGAACAACTTCCATATAAGGAGAGTTTAACAAGACTGGGATTCTTCAGCTTGGAAAATAAATGACTAAAGGATTGAGGAAGGGATATATTAGAGGTCTAGAAAATCATACATGGTGTGGAAAAATAGAATAAAGAAATGTGTTATGTTAGTGAAGGAGTAAATAAAAATGACTCTTATAGGCAGCAGATTTAAAAAAAAAAACTTCAGTCAACCTGTGGAACTATTTGCCAGGAGATGGAGAAAAGGCCCAAACTATAACAGGAGTCCAATAAGAACAAACTAAGTTCAAGGAGGTTAGGTCCATCAGTGTCTTCTAGCCAGAATGGGCAAGGATGGTGACCCTAGCTTCTGTTTGCCAGAAGCTGGGAATGAGTGACGGGTCATTTAATGAATGTCTTTTCTGTTCATTCCTTCTGACGCACCTGGCATTGGTCACTGTTGGAAGATAGGATACTGGGCTAGCTGGACCATTGCTCTGACACAGTATGGCCATTCGGATCTTATAAAGAGCTGGAATGTATCTGCCCCCTGCTGTAACCCACTAGCCTCCATTCCAGTTCCGGATTAGAGCTAGAACCCAGGAGTCCTGACAATCTCTCTCTAGTAAGACCATACATTAACATTTTAAGGCTAACCAGTGTCTCTCAAGTGACTTGCTACAAGATGTCAGAACACATTAATATTAGAGCTGTGTGAGTCTAATATTTATTTACATTTTCTTGTATATAGGAAATAGATACAGTGCTCCTGACAGCTAACTATGTTCTCTGTCAAAAAACTCTAGAGAGCTTTCCAGTGCCTTAGTAGCTCCAGAAAGAGGTTTCGGTGTGTTTGTGCTGCATGGAATCTACCCCCTGCCCCCTTTTGGCAGATCTGTGCATGCCCCAAGGGTGGGAGAGAGCGAAAGCATGGTGGGCAGAGGAGGACAGGGGCATCTGCAGTGTTACTCAGTACAACCCAAGAAGTGAAAATTTCCTCTCCCCTCTTAGGCTGTCCCTGTGTGTGTGAGAGAGAAATGAATTATGACCTTAGGTGAGATTTCCATCCAGAGTATCATGTGGCACTGAATGTATTTACTGGAGAAATTTCTCTAGTATTTTATACCAGTTTATACAGATTTCAGTCCCATGTGAAATGGCACAAGCACTGGTAGGGAGTACAAGTAGCTGTTGCAACCGTGCCCAGGCCAAAGGGCGGCTGTACTTATCTCCCACGCTTAGGAGTGCAGATGTAGGCAGCCCTGGCAGAGAGCAGGTTTCTCCCACCTGCGACCAATGTGGCTGTCGAGAAGGGGGAAACTCAGGGAACAGGGGCAATTGCTGAGGAGAGACACCAGACTCTTCCCCTACCATCCCTAGCCCTGCGGGACAATCCCCCTGTTTGGAGAAAGGTCCTGCCCTTTCTCCAACCCCTGTCCCCCAGCAAAGCGGTTCCGGGGACGAGCCGGGCATGGCGCTAGTAGCAGAGGTTGCTCCCCGCCGGCCCAACCCCTGCTCCCCGTGCGGGGGGATAACTCGTGCTGCAGGTGTTTACCCCCCATAGCCCCGGGCGTCCAGAGGCTCCGCTGCCCCTGCCAGGGGACAGGACAA